AACACACTTTCAGGAAAAGTCACGGACTGGGAGACTTTAATATTTTATTGAAAAAAAGTTACATTGCACACACACATCAGACAAATTGAACCGATTGGCGGTTCTAGTGTTAAATAAACTCACTAATTAATTAAACCAGTTCAATACGCATTATTCTTATTCTAATCATTCTTTATGAGCGCAGAAATAGTCTTAAAATCAGATCTGTTTTTTAAATGAAATCTGACGGCAGGCAGTTAGCTCTGATCACCTATGATAAATGCGCCACACCTAATCGCTGGCCATTCAGCCACAGAGGTCCCTCTATACAAATCAAACTGTAGACGATGTGAAAGCACTTATTGTTTTAAATAATGGTCGGAATGTGACCTGTGAGCCTTCTGAATTACCGTGGGACAGCACATTCTAAACTAAAATGTTCAATCAATAAAGTAACATCTTATCTTATCTTAATAATATCTTCATATTAATAATAATAATAAATCATACAGTATGTGTCCGAAAGGGAGCAGAAGGAAGCAAACACAAAAATATACAAAAAATATACTGCATATTAAAGCAAACGATTGTAAAGGTAAAAGTATGAGCATAACAAATAAAGATGTAATGTAAACATTTACATTATAATTATGATTATTTAATATATAAAGACTATATATTATTGAATTACAAGATTATATACTTTAGTTGATCTAAAATATTGATGTGTTCAAATGCTCTTCAAAACACAACTGAAAGTCCATGAAACTTGTCTTTCTGTATTTGTGAATGAAGCGCCATCTCCTGGTTAAAACCTGAAATTGAAAATCTGGCAACGCCCTCTTGGAAAATAGTGGGAGGGCTTAACATTCCTCTATACTGGTCTTTGGCAGGTCGTAGGCAGGAAGCTGTAAGCTGGAGTCTGAAATTCAGTGCTCCATCTGTAGGTGGTTGCTAGGTTATTTTTTTCGGGACCTTTGTGGCTGAGAATCAGACACACTCTTTTGGAATACTTATAAGGTTGGGTGGTTAGGAAATGGAATTTGCTTCAGCTTAAAACTGTATAGAAGATAAGTGTTGTTGTGTTCCTGCAGCACGCAGTGAACCACAGGAAGGTGGCCTTCATGCCTCCAGTAGAGGACATCGGCCCAGATCCACTGTTTCTCCAGTTTGTCTTCTCTGTCAGCGACCACCATGGCGGAACCATCTCCGACCTTGTCTTCAACATCACCGTCATCCCTGTGGACGACCAGGCGCCAGAGGTCAGACACAGGTCAAACCACTGGTTTGAGCATCGGATGGGCAATGGGAATAAACACTGGATTTGATGTCATATAATAATCTCTGACTGAATGACCATTATAATTAACATGCAGCAAACTCATTTCATAATTAATAATTCAATCAGTTTTGAATATATATATTTGTTGGTTGATCCCCTGTACCAGGCTTTCACCAACCTGCTGCGGGTGGAGGAGGGTGGAGGGGCCTTTGTGACTGAGGAGCATCTCCTGGTTCAGGACCGGGACAGTTGGGAGGAGGTTCTGAGGGCCGAGGTTCAGAGAACGGCTGGCCATGGCAGGCTGGAACTGCAGGGCCGCACGCTGCTGCAAGGACACACCTTCACCCTGCAGGACCTGAGGGAGCGCAGACTCAGGTCAGACACAGTGTGGGCATGAGGAGATTATGACGGGCCCCTGATGGCCCCACCACCAACTCTACATTACATTACATGTTACTTGTTAGCTGCTTTTATCCAAAGCGACTTACATACTCAATACTGTGGACAATCCCCACAGGAGCAATTTGTGGTGAAATGTCTTGCCCAGGGACACAACGACATTCTGACTGCAGTGGGGTTTGAACCTGTGCTCCCTTGATCCAAACACCAACGCTCTATCCACTGCGCCACACGCCTCCCATATGAGCAAGACAGAGTTTATAGGGTTTAGCCTCGTTTTTTCTGTTTTGTGTCACTTGCTAGTTATTTTGAAATTATTTCTTATCGTTTTGTGTGAGTTTGTGGTTGATTCACTTCTTTGGTCAATTTGATGTCTGTTGTTTGTCCCTTTTTATGTTTCTTTGAATTATTTTATGTCCTTTTCTGATATTGTGTGTGCCTTTCTGGTTGTTTAGTGCACTTTGTTTTCATACTGTGTATTTATGGCCTTTTTGTGTCTCGTTGTGGTCATCGTTACTGGAAATGTTCTTCGAACAGTAGCTCACTCTGTAAGGATTTGGTTTGGAGGGTTAGGATTAGAGTGAGGGTGACTGGTTCAAGTCCCAATTGGACCAAGCATGGCAATATTCACTGACTCAGCACTGTGAGGTCTTCTTGAGCAGGGCATCAAACCCCACACTGCTCCGGGCCCCTAACCATGGCAGGCCCCTTGCTCTGACGCCTCTCAAATGAATGCATGTGTTCAATTTTGAAACAAAAGACAACATTCATTTTAGCTACCTTTTTTTATTTTTTTATTTAACAGAGCCTTTGGATTCAGCCTTCTGAAACCAAAAAAAGCCCTAGGTTTTTATAAATATCATTTATTATTTAAACTATGACATGATGTGCCACTCTGCCGCATGGCTTGGCGCAGTGGCACATCGATACGTTTATGATAGATAGATGAGGGGGAGAGGACGCTGGTGCTGCTTGTTCGCCGCTTCTCCTTCTAGTTCTCCTTTTAGTTCTAGTTTAAGTCTTGTGTTGTTTTTCGTTGTTGTTTTTTAATGTTACCTTTAAACATCTAACTTATATCTTCTGCTGACTGCATCTCTGCTTTCTACTAAATTACAAACCTTGTTTTGGAAAACCGCTCCTACCTGTTGCTGGCACCTTCCAATGCTATTGACAGCTCCCGGACAGCTAACGCTAGCTGGTAAGCTAGCAGCCTATTCGGCTTCCAGCGAGCTAGTCGGCTCACTGTGGTGAGCCCGACCAACCAGGGTTGCGGTCGGATAGTTTAAAAATCAGCTCCTAAATTCTAACCCTATCTCCTATTCCTTGACCTCTGAGTGAAACGTCACGGGGTTAAGGGATAGTGGATAGGAGAATTCAAAAGGACTTAGGGGAAGAGAATGCGGTACTTTAGAGCAGGGGTTTTCAAAGTGTGCGTAGGTGAGCCTCCCCTCAGAGAACATAAGAACAGCCCCAGTGCTGTGTACCTGGACTCACATTCAGGTTCAGGACCGGACTCAAGTCCAGAGGTTCAGGTTCAGGTCCGGACTTATAAGTCCGGACTTGTGTCAAGTTGTGTGAGTAACTAAAGTGAACTTATTGTGAGCTAATTATCAATTGAAAATA